TGTCCTGGGCCCTGGGAGAAATGATTGCCTCTCTAGCTACCTCTCACACAAGAGGTGTTGGAGTCCTTTGGTACCTTTCTGCGCCTACTATCTCCTGTGGGTTGGGTTTTTCTTCCTGAGAAACTCATGTCCCAGCATAAACATCCTTGTGTCCTATCATCAAGAAAAGAAAATTAAGTGCTTAAGTGGAAAGAAGTCCTGGTGAAATGCCCTGCTGGTCCCTTTTCCCCACACATCTAGAGCCTGGTGATCAGCCAGCATGTCTAGATCCTGGTGATTGGCCAGAGACTGAATCTGCATTGGCTTCATTGTGTTGAAATCAACACTCCACCTAACTCTGCTTGAGAAGTAGAAGTAAAATCCTTTTCAGTGGGTGGCTCATCCTAACAACTGACTCAGTGAAAAAGCCATTTGCCTTCCTTACTATTGGGCCATGTCCCTGAAACTGGGGGCTCTTCACCACACACGGTCCATGTTTCAATTGAAACCACTGACATTATTCACTCACTGACACTATGCATGAGTTGAGAGAAACTGAGTAGACATGTGGTAACTGTGGCCATCTCCATTGACACCGATCTTTGTCTCACTGAGAAGGATGTTAGGATACCATGTTAGCATGAGGATGCTTATGAATATAAACATCTCCACTGGGAGGAGCCCAGGGTCCTCAAGTGTACAGAGTTCTCTGACCAGCTGCACTAGTATCTCTGAGACATACCTTCAAAGAACAGAGCCTCCGACTATATCCAAGATCTACTGGATGAGAATATCCATTTTCAAAACATCCAGGCGTTTGTGGAGCTCTTCATTTTAGCAAGATTCAAGGTCTTGGCATCATTGCTTTGAAACAGGTGTTTTTTACCCTGGCTGCATATTAAACTAAATGAAAAGCTTTAAATAATACCTATGTCAAATCTCCACCTCCAGAGATATGGATGGGCTTGGTCTGGAATGGGCTTGGGAATTAATGTTTCTAAAGCTCTTTTATGAAGCCAATGTTAAGAATTACTGTTAGGGATTCACTGACCATATTTAATGGGTTCTGATTGATGTTTTGTTTGGTATTCTTGACCACTTAGTACTTACCTGGTGACTCTCAAACAATCCTTGCAAGGATTTCAGGAACAGAGATTCCACTGAATTCCAGCCTCAATTAGCAAGGTTCCCTCTTTGCTATACATCGTGGAGTACACGCACCCTCTCTGTCCATCTGCGTTTATTGAGGTGTTCTTCCTTTTGAGCACTTTCAATTAGGAAACAGTAATTTATGTGCAAAAACACAGAGGAAGATGAAAATGTCCACACAGAAGAAAAGGGGTGATTATTTCTGGGGGACAATAAAGTGAATGGCAATGTTGACTAACCCTATATCCAGTCTCTTTCCTGGGCACTGGAGGCTTAGCAAGTCATCTAGGACCTCCTTGATGGTAGAAAAGGGCTTGAGAACTGGGGAGATAGCCTGGTGGTCTAAGCACCTACATAGCAAGTGCAAGGACCTGGGTTCAATCCTCAGTTCTGCATGCTGTGCTGGTCCCCACACAGATGAGCCACTAAACCAGACGTGGTGGTGCACACCTATAATCCCACTGCTCAAGAGGCTGAGACAGGAGGATCACTATGAGTCTGAGCTGAATAACAAGACTCTGTACCAAAGATAGATACATAGATAGGTAGAAAGAAAGAAAGAAAGAAAGAAAGAAAGAAAGAAAGAAAGAAAGAAGGAAGGAAAAGAGCTTGAGTATTTTTGCAGTGACAAGAGAAAACTGCATCCCAGAGGCTCTGTGTGTCTTTCCCATCCTCCCAACCTACAAGCAGCAACACTGAGGTTGGAACTCAGGCAGCTTGGCCCAGAACTTTTCTCCAAACTAATGCTTCCCACCATCTCACTGAAGCTCTCTTTTGAATATCTGTTCTCATTCAAAGAAGCTGAGGTTGT